AAAATTTTTTTCATTCAAGATAAGTGTCTAATGTTTTCTCTATTACACTTTTATGTGACAACAGTTAAAACAACCCTTAAGTGACATATGTCATGTTTATATTTTTAAAAAAAATATTATTTAAATTTTTTTATAAAAGAAACTAAAAATGACACTTGTTATTTTTCTAATAATGAACATATAAAAGTGTAATGAATAAAACATTAGAAAACTATTTTAACAAAAAGATTTTTAGTGAATTTAAATAATTATTTTTATATTAAGCCAAAAAATAAGATAAAGAATAGTTGAGTATTCGGGGGGAATTACGAGATAAAAAGGCAGTGGATGGACCCTGCCAGTCCTACGTGAATGGCCCAAATGTATGGGTTGGATTTGCAATTTTCTATTTTAGCTCTAAAAGGACCCATCAAAATAGCACAAAAAATAAAATTAATCGAAATTGAATTTTTAAAAATAATAATAAGACTTAATTTTTATTAAATATGTATAAAGATAATGGACGTTTTTCCCGATAAATCACCAGTGATCGGTATATTTACCGATCTAACATCAGTCAGATTATATTCTCCGATCTAACATCAGTAAGATTATATTCTCCGATCTAACACCCGTAGCAGTAAAACGCGCGTCCTGAACCGCGCTATACGCTGATTTGGCGTCACGTGGGTATAGCGCTCCCCTGCCTCGTGATATACAATGATTTGGCGCCATGTGAGTATAGCGCGCCCCCTGATTCGCGCTATACCTGGGTATCTGACACGTGGGGTATAGCGCGATGCAGGGGCGCGCTATACCCCTAAATACCCGCCTCTCCACATCCCAATCCTCCCTATAAATACTCTCATCCTCAATCATTTTTATCACACCAAATTCTCTCAAATTCTCTAAATTTCTCTCAAATACTCTATCTTTTTAAGGTATATTTTATAATATTTTTACTATTATGTATTTAATTTATTTAAGTATTTTTACTTTATTTAATATTTTACTAATATAATTCTATTATAGATATAATAGAAGGTAGTCTACTTCGCTCGGATGAAAATCATATATCTCTACACTTTGCTGATACGATAACATTTTAACGTTTTAATTTAATTTAAATTATTAGTAATAATTAGTTGATTTATTTAATGCATGATTATTAGATTAAGAATTAAATATCTCGACACTTTGCTGATACGGTAACAGTTTAACGTTTTAATTTAATTTAAATTATTAGTAATAATTAGTTGATTTATTTAATGCATGATTATTAGATTAAGAATTTGTAATTATTTATTTTTAGGAGAAGGACCGTGTATTAGATCCTTTTATTAGGAATATTAAGTTAGTGATACCCAGCGTGTCTTGCCGTATTTAGTAGAGGCTGGATTCGATTACATAGGTAGATATCATGGTCACTGTAAGATAGAGCCAGACCCGATTTTTGCATTAGTAGAGCGGTGGAGGCCGGAGACCCACACATTCCATCTTCCGTGCGGAGAGTGCACGATCACGCTTGAGGATGTTTCTATGCACCTGGGGCTTCCGGTGGATGGAGATGTAATATCGGGGATAGCTTCCGGTTCTTGGACTACTTTATGTCGGGATAGTCTAGGACGTGTCCCGGAAAATTTTATCGGAGGTAGGATACCGTTAAATTGGTTAGATGCCAATTTTCGAGAGTTGAGAGCAGACGCCTCTGAGGATGAGGTTAAGATGTATGCACGGGCATGCATACTGCAGCTGATAGGAGGGTTGTTGATGCCGGACAAATCGCGCAACCTAGTTCACTGCATGTGGTTGCGACATCTTAGCGACTTTCGTCTCGCCGGATCATTCAGTTGGGGCTCGATAATTTTGGCTTTGCTGTACAGAGAGATGTGTGGAGCCACTGACTATAGGCGTAATGCTATCGGCGGATGTCTCCTGCTGCTGCAGTCTTGGGCATGGTATCGATTGCCCTTTTTATGTCCCGTTGTGAGAACACATTCGTATTTCCACTACTTCTGAGGTAATTATAAAAATGATTTTGTATATTAATAATTTTATACAACGCATAACAAATTTTTTTTCCTTGAATAGGTGGTCTACTGATAGGAAAAATCATCAGGAGCTACCTGATGATTTAGAAAAAATTAGGGTGCTAATTGATCAGAAGGCTGGCACACAGGTTGGCGATGTTTGGATGTGAGGGCATAACAAATCTACTGATGATGTGAGGGTAGTGATCCCACCTGAGTTGAGGGGTCCATCAGATGTTTGAATGGCGATGGTCCCTCTGATCTGTTATGCGACCGTCGAGTGGCACTCCACTGATCGCGTGCTCCGGTAGTTTGGTTGTTTTCAACCAATTCCGGAAGCACCTCGCAATATGGACGAGTTGCATAGCTTAGATAGACGCGGTAAGACATATACAGATTGGCTGGTGAGGCATCATGAGTGGGTCGTGTTGTGGGAGGATCGACATCGACGCCTTCCACGTAAAGAGCCCATTTTTACTGACTTCTTGATGTATGCTGAGCATTATTATGATGGTTCAACAGTAACGGGAAACCGTTTCTACTTCCCGAGGATGCACGATGGCAGACCTTTCTACGACGTCGAAACTCTGTGACACGAAACATTTCATGCCTTCTAGAGAAGCTTGTTACAGACATTCCATTTGATGCAGCAATTTTTTTCTATAGATCTGCAACTAATCTAGGGTGATAGACATGACCGCCTTGCATCCAAGTTTGAGCTTGTCCCCCGAGCTTCACAAAAAGCGCCCCCAAACGAAAATATGTAGTTTTTACCAAAGTCGTTACAGGTAAGTGACGTGCACCCTTTAAGGTTGAATTGATTGCCTCAGCCACGTTGGTCGTCATGTGTCCGTATCGATATCCGCCATCATATGCGTTCGTCCACATTTCTTTATCGATGAGGCTGATGTAATCGTATCCTTCCTCGTTCTTCGCCCGTAAATCTTGAAGCATTGATTCAAACGTTCGAGAAAGTAATTCGAAACCTGATCAAAAAATGTATAACTTACTATCTTGCTTTCTTTGCAAAATTAAAATGATCAAAAAATGTATAACTTACTAACTTGCTTTCACTTACCCATGCGCACAATTAATTGACGCTCATCATTCTTCTTGTACCTTCCATGATAGTTCGCAGCAATGTGTCGGAGACAATACTTATGTTGGACAAAGAGTGGTTGCCACATTGGACCCATAATCAGCTCCATACATGTGTGCATGAGGGTCAGTTTGTGCCACATTTCCTGGAACTTCATCATCATCAGAGTTGAATTGCGATGATTCTGGGTGAATGAATAGTCTAGTATCAGCACCATCCGTACCAGGCTCACGAAGCGGTTCTTCTGGTGGAGATTATGGTTCCTCCATGCTCTCCACATTTAGGTCGAAGAACCTACTACTTGCACGCCTTCCCCTTGAACTGGATGGCATATCGACATTGAGATCGAAAAAGCTCGCAGTCGAATGCCTCCCCCTGGAGCTTGAAGCCATCGTGTCAAATGGAAACTGCACAGATGGTTGCGTCGATGACATCTCCATATGATCAAAGAAATTTGCAGATGAATGCCTTCCCCTTGAACTGGACGCGGTGTTGCCATACAGATTGTTCGTGGACCCACCTCGGTACATATCGTAAGGAGTTGCGGATGAATGTCTCCCCATTATGACATTAAAATCATTACACATTATTGTAGTCGAGCTGTCAACTTGTTCAGCCAGCCCATAGTGTGAGCTTAAAGATTGACCCTGAACAGCACGCACTTGAACAAAATGTGCATACATCTCAATAGCGGTGTCTGAATAATTACTTTGAGCTTCAACCATCATTTGAACACCATCATTGTTCGAAAGTTCGAACACTGTATAAGTTAATGACAACAATGATGTTGGAAATCTGTACTGCAACGACGACATTCTTCTACTACTTCCACCATAAATCTTCTTCGAAATCTTCGTTATCAGCTCCTCAAGAGTTATGTTTCTCCTGAATGATATTTTAACACGCTCATTTGATACGAAAACAACGACGGTTTCATCTTCTCGAATTTCACCATCATAATAAACAATAGCTGAAAGTCGTGTCATTCTTTGAGTTTAAAAGTGCGGCAATATTATATCTGCTAAAAAAATAACTGAAACAAACATGATTAAATAAATTATATATGAACGAAAATATAACACAATAAATTTTTTACATATCAACGTAAATAATTTAAATAATATAATTTTATATTATTACCTGCACCACAAAACTATTTTGACGTATGCTCCCGCTTTTCAATTTTATAAACATAAAAATTAATTGAAAATAATTAGTATAATATTTTTTCAAATAATGATAATAAACAATAAGTATAATTAAAAAATTATAACAAAATTACCTTATAACGAAAAATTAAACGAACTTCTAAATCAAATATGAGAAAATTGTCAGAATTTTTACTCGTTGACGGAATTATTGTATTAATTTATAAGTTGAGATGAGAGATGCGAGAACCGGATGAGTGTATTTATAAACATATAAGGCGCGGTACCTGCACCGCGTTATATGTAATTATTATATAGCGTGGACCAGAGACCGCGATAAATATAATTTTGGTACGGCGTATAGCACGGCCCCTGATCCGCTCTATACCCCTACGTGACGTATAGCGCGGAGCAGGGGGCGTGCTATACCCCACGTGTAACCCAGTCAACGTATAACGCGGTACAGGGGCGCGCTATACTCCACGTGACGCCAAATCAATATATAGCGCGGTTTAAGGGAGCACTTTACTGCTACGGGTATTAGATCGAGAAGTATAATCTGATCGGTGTTAGATCGATAAATATATCAATCACCAATGATTTTTCGGGAAAAATACCAAGATAATGAGCAGAATATTTCCAGAGAAGGAAAATGCAAGTCCCTGAACAAAGTAGAAAGGAGGTGGAATAGAAATGCCACACAGCAGAGAGACAATTGTCTGGTAAGTGAAAACAAAAGGAAGTCTATTTGGAAGGAGCTTGCCAGATTCCATTGTCATCGCATGGGCAAAGTGTGATCCTAGGGCTTCTAACATTCTCCAAATACTTCAATTTGGGGAATTTTTCCAGCATCTCTTTCCAGTTCATCTTAAAACCCACCAAGAACTTCAAATGCAAAGTGTCCACCTTCCACTTCTTCTTGTCATCATGTTTCAGGTAACTCAGTTTCCCACCTCTGATCGACAGATTCGTCAGCCTCCGCAGTTTCTTCGGTACCAGCCATTCAGGTGGATCGGTGTAAGGGAAGCATTGGAGGTCTAGTTTCACCAGATTCGCAAGTCCTACAAGATCTTCTTCTTCTTCCTTCACTCTCCACAAAACAGTAGCCGCGAAAACCCCAGTGGCCACCTGTTTAAAACGACTGTGGTCTCTTGGTCTCTTGGTTGCTGCTCACACCACTGTTTTGCTCGTCGTTACCCTCAACCTTAGTGGTCTTTGAATTCGCTTCACTGCCTTTATCGTCTCCCTTGTTCTCTTTTCCTGTTGAGGCTTTCGCTGCTGCCTGCTGGTTCTTGATATCCGATTTTGATTTACTGCTGTTAGTGTTTGGCATCCCTCTTGATCCCCACGCTATCCTCAACTTTTCAAGTTTCTGAAATCTATTGAGAGACCTCTCTTCATCATCAATATTGAATTTCGTGGTGTTGACATTGATGCTTAGTTTTCGCAGATTCTTTAAATTCGACAAGTCTTTGAGAGTGCATGAGTTTTGGGTATCAACAATCACAAAACCTTTGAGTACTTGAAGTTCCTTGAAATCACTCAGCCTCTTGGGCATATAATCAAGCAGGTAGCACTCAGATAAATCCAGGTAAGTCAGTTCCTTCAGTGAGCCGATCTTATCTGGTAATCTCCCCAGGTTGTGACATGCTCTAAGATCTAAGATCCTCAAGTTTCCAAGATTCTGAATAGTGCTGGGAATCTTTGGGATACCTGAAATACCTTGAAGACTAAGAAGCCTTAGATTCTTCATGTTCTTCAATCCTTTTAAGAAATCAATGTCTTCCACCTCAATATGGCGAGCCGTGGTTTCCCATTTACCCATGTAAAGAACTTTGAGCTCCGTCATCTTGGAAAACCACTCCGTAGGTAAAGCTGGAAATTGTTTGCTCAAATTAAACAATATCTGCAATTTATCAAATCGTTTACTAGCCGTCATCAATGTGTTCCTGTCGGGAAAATTGAACAGCATTTGCAGCTTTACTAGATCTACAGGTAGCTTTCCCTGCCCCGATTCTTCTTTAAGATACTCTGAGAACCAGGGAGCGGTGGCTCCTTCAGATCTCACCATGCATGCTTTTTTGCAAGATGAGAAATCCATGGTTGGTTTTCCTTCTTGGTCATAATCAAAGAAACGTGCATCTTTGGCAAACCTGTTCAAACACGAACGAACGATCGGGTCCATTTTGTAGCTTCTGGGCTCTAATCTGCTCTTCTTCAAAACAGGCTGGATAAGCCCTTTCTCCACGAAAATGTTGAGAGTTTCATTTACAATGTCCTTCTCATCTTCTCCTTCCTTTAGGGGTCCGATTAATTCTTCTCCAACCCACCAAAATCTCAGGAACCTCTTCTTTATCGCAGCATTTTCTGGGAAAATCGCGAAACACAAGAAGCAGAGCCTAAGCCTATCATCTTTAAGGCTTTTATATTTTTCCTCGATTTCTTTGAAATAATAGCTTTCTTCAAAAAGAGTTGATCCGTATAGGTGAGGCAAATCCCCTGCATCTCGGGTGACGACTGTCGTCTGCAAACCCCGATTACCTTCGGAATTAATGCCGCCGCCCTGATGTTGCGACGGGATCAGGATCTTGACTCTGGTGATGTTGTTTCTCAACACACGGAGATTGTGCGGAACCTGTTTTGGCAACTCGTCTTTGTCTAGATCAGTCACGATGTCTTTGACATTGGCTTCAAGAGTTTTGAGTGGATCGCTTAGATCATTTTCGAACTTCTCGAGTTTCTGGAACGATCTGTACATATAATCAAGTTCTTTGTATAGTTTTCCCAGCTCGTGTAGCGCTTCCGTCTTACTGTATCCCCCACCATCTTTCCCCTTGTTGCTGCCATCCGTTTTTTGAGTCCTCTGGCTATCCTCGCCGCGGCTAACACCTCGGCTGGTAGTAGTAGACCCGTCTTGCTGATTTTCAGTCGCGGTGTTGGTGGCGACCGTGTTTTGGTGAGGTGGATTGGCCTTGGTTGCATATTTGTTGGTAAGCTCACACAACTTGGAAATGCGATCGATTATATCTTGAATGGGTGAGAGAATCGGTTTATCTGGACTGGTAGACATGGTTAATGCAGTATTTGCTCAAGCAAGTGAGAGCGGGACAACCATAAAGATGAAGCTAAAGCTCTGTAGTTGTGGTAGGATGATTCAAAAAATAAAAGAGAGAGACTTTCTTTGGAGGTCAACAAAGAGATAAAATTAAACTTACAGACAAACGCTGCCTTATTTGAGTTGGCAGTACTCCCATATCAATCAATGAGATAGATTGCTACGCACGTGTTAATTTTTCTGATTTATCCATCCATCTATTTTTAAGATTTCATTTTAATTATTTAATTATTATTTTAAAATTATATTCAACATTATTTTAATTATTAGTTGTTAATAAAATGAATGAAAATGTTTGATATTATTTTTTTTAGAATAATGTAGTATTACTTTATAGTGATCTATTAATATTATCGTTAATTTTATAACAACATACTAAAATAAAATTAAAATGTAACATTAAATATGATTTTAAAAAATAATTGGATGACTGAATAAATAAATTATTTTTGAAAAAACTTTACATTTAATACTTAAAATATTAGTTTTGATTTATTTTAGTACCTAAATTTTTATTTTTTAAATAATACCTAAAATTTATTTTTATTTTATTTTAGTAATCTTCCGTCAAAAACTTAACATGGTTAATACATAAACTATTAATTTTGGTTTGTTTTATTACTCAAACTTTTATTTTTTTCTTCAAAAATTAACGATAAATTTTGAATAAAGGTAATAAAATGAAACAAAAATTAAACTTTAGGTTTGATTTTGAAAAAAATCAAAGCTTAGGTACTAAAATGTACCAAAAGTGATCATTAGATTCTAAACGTGTAATTTACCCTAGGTTTTTAGTTATAAATTAAATAAATAGATAAAGTTGGCAAAATAATTTTAAGGGTAAATTAAACGGATTATCACTGTACTTTTCTCTATTTCATATTTCACTCATTTTACTTTAAAACTGGTCAATTTCATCACTGAATAATTGACAAATTTGGTCACTCGGTCGTTTCCCCACTAACGGTCTTTTCCAAAAACCCATTTCCCTTTCAATCCATCGTCTCCAGCAACAGTCCCGGTGTCATCTCCTGAGTAAAACCCAACCACCACCTGCCCAAAATCGATTGTTAAAACGTCGTAAATTGTGAGAATGTCGCTCAACGTTGCTGCAGATTTTTGTGATTTCCGACCGATTCCATCACCATTGCACCTCACCCCTTTCACCACTAAGTTCTTTGCCTAGTTTCGACCGAAACCTAGGTGGTAATGTCCCATCACCATCGCTCTATCATCGTGCAAGTGGGCTTGAGACAACATTGGTGGGAGTACTGGAAACAACCTTTAGTGGGAAATGGTCGAGTGACCAAATTTGTCAATTATATTAAGTTTAGTGATGAAATAGACTAAATAGGAAATAGAGAAAAGTAAAGTGATGATTCGTGTAACTTACCCTAAATTTTAAAGGTATACAATGGTTGGTCGGGGAGATTCCCAAATCAAGTCAATGGTCAATGCCCTTTAAGTCAATTATTGCAACAAAAACATAAAAAAGTAGATATATATATATATATATATATATATATATATATATATATATATATATATTATGAAAGTAGGAGGGTAAAAACCTTTTCGTTTGGTTTACGAAATGTAATATTATCGGTGGTAATAAAAGATTACCAGAGAATAAGATTACTGAGAATGTTGTATTTTATGTTTGGTTGGTTTAGCAGGAATGTAAAATTAATGTGTTTGGTTAAAGGAATAAAAGATTATTGGAATGTATATTTGACCAAATTGTCCTTTTTTTTTATATATTTATTATTTTAACAAATTAGAAAATATTTATATTTTCTTTAAAAAATTTAAATTCATAAAATTTATATAATTTTTTTACAAAATTGAAAATATAAAAAGGTTTAATGAAATGATAAAATTTTATTTTAACACATGAACTTCATATAAAATTTTAATTATAGATTTTTTTTGTAAATCTAAAATAATATAAGGATAAATTTGTAATTCAACCTTCGTAGAATTTTTATTATTCAAAATTACCTGACCCTTATTTCCATATGTAATGGGGTAGGAGGAGGTAGAATAGTAGGCTGCCCCCAACACCAGGTTGAGAGCAGCTTCCGTAGAAGACCTCTGAAATATAAAATACCTTCCGTGCGACTCGATTCCACGACCCCAAGGTTAAGAACATTGTGCTCTACCAACTGAGCTGGATGGTATTTAGAATTTTTATTATTCAATCACATAATAAGGATATTTTTTTAAATAAATTTTTTTAAGGGCATTTTAGTCCAAAACGCCGGTAATCCAACAATACCTAAGGAAATAGAGGTAATGACATTCCCGGTAATATACCTCAAAAAATTCACTATTGGTAATATAAGATTACCGGGAATGACATTCCCAATCAACCAAACGGGGAATGTGGATTTCATTTCCATGAAAATCTCACATTCCTCCAACCAAACGCACCCTTAATTATCTATCACATATACATATGTTCTTTTAATTAATTTAATATTTATATCTGTTTTAACGTTTTATATATATTTGTTATTTGAAATTATTATTTTTATAAATATTATATTTTTGTTTCTAAAATAATTTAATGTATATTTATTAAATATATATCAAATGCTTAGGATCTAAATTTCACAATCATTTTTCTCCTTTTTAAGTATTTTACGATCAAATTCCGACCATTTGAATATTACTTTTGAGTTGCAGATATAAACAAGCAGCGCATGTCATCTCCACATCCACAACAGTTGGTGATGGGCACATGACCAGATTAATTAATTCACTTATAATATAACCTTGTTGAATCTTCAGCACAAGTGGACCTATGGTTTCGTTTTTAAACTTCATCTTCAATTAAAAGAACATTTTTTAATAAAGAAAGTCCAACATGCATGGGTTGGACCGTGGTGGTTCTGTTTGGTTGTATTAATAGCTACCTGACGGGGTAGATCAGAAAATAAATCATACAGTACCATCTTTTATCTAACTCTTGCTTGCAAAATTGCAGAGTCTTCAATTTTTTTATTAATTACAACGTGTCGTATATATTTATGTTGGACCGTGGGTGGTCTCCGTGTCGTATTACAGTGGGACATCAGACACCCAACTATTGCTTGGAAAATTGCAAATGGTTCCTGTTTTACGTATTACAATGAGACTTATGTTTGATATTAAGGCTTTTCAGATTGGAAAAATAATTAAAGTCTACATAAAAAATTTTATATTAAAGAGATAAGATTTAATATAATTAGATCTTATTTATTTTTATAGAAAGAAAAATTAACTAACATAAAAAAATATTAATATTTTACATGAAAAACTTTATTTAAAAAATTACGAACACAAGAGAAAAGTATCTAGTAATGAAGAAAAAAGAAGAATGAAATAGGAATTTCATAAATAAGTATTTGAAATTTATTTATAGGGATAATCATGGATGGACCTTGTGTCGTTCTAAAAATTTAAAATTATTATATATTTTAAATTTTATTTATGTATTTTCAACTGAAAATTTATTTCCGTTCCCCTAAAATCTTATAAGTTTAAGTTCGTTATTCCCCTTTAAATTTTATACGTTCAAGTTCACCTTCTAACACAAAATCTAATCAACGTAAAAGGAAAAAAGCTTGGTACTTCAAATTAAGTTAAATTACTTTGTATAATTATATATTAATCTTATGTCTTTATTAGTTTGTGTTAGATGGAATTCAGATCAAACTCTAATATCTAACGTATTGTTAATTTGCATTATCTAATTTCTTCTTCTTCGTTTTGGGAGGTAATTTGAGCCGTATACAAAGTAACAGAGCATTTGAAGAAAACACCATAATCTATGATTTGGCACAGTATTACACATTACATTTCTCCACAGCTAACTTGGAAATGAGCAGAAATACAAACGCAAAAGCACATGTAAAGAAAGAAAATGATGAAATCTGGAGGGAAAGTAGTGGTCTATTTCCCGACAATCAATTTAGCCCTTGCATGTCCCTCATTGATTTGGAACTGCTCCCCAAGGCCAAAGTAAGCCCTCTGCAACCAAATAAAAGTAATGAGCTCCCCACCTTTGCTGACCTGCTGAGCGTGCGTGTTTGCTCGGCAGTGACTCCCAGCATACGACACCGATTCCACCCACACCCTGGCCATCAGTTTCCATTTATCCAATCCTTCCTCCTCCAGCTTGTTTAGTTCTTGAGCAAACATGCTGGCATCGAACAGTGCGGATTTACTTCTATCTCCCTTCACTTCCTCATGTTTAACATCTGTCGTCACCGAAAGAATCGCCTCACAGGCCTTGGTTTCAACGGTTCCTCTCCTTTTCATGTTTTCCGCCCGTGATGGTAAAACCTTGCCTTCAAAGAATCGTTCAGCCTCGGCGCAAGTGTCCCTGAATCTCATTTTGCCAATGCCTCCTACAGCAGACATCATCGTTGGCCGCCAAATTAAGAGATACAACATGTAGTCCGAGAGAAGCTTACTAAATTCTCGATGACCGATACTTTTCTCGTCCAGCCATAGTAGCAGAGATCAGTAGCAATGTGCCACAATAGAATGCTTTCGTCGCATGGAACATCAGTTATAAACGGCATCAGCGTGCTGCAGTCGACTTTCGTGTCGCTATCCACTATAACCCAATCACCCCTGGCAGTGGAAATCCTCTTGGCCGTTTCAGGGTCATCTGCATAGTCGGCTTTGGTTTTCAGTTCCTCAAATATGAACTCCCATAGCGATTTAGTGAATGGCTCGCGGGCTACATATATTATCTCATCTATGAAGTCCCGAAGTCCCATACTTCCCATGATGAAATCATGAGCATAGCCAGAAAAAACACCAATCTTTTTGAAGATTTCGTTTAACACATCAATGTTCTTGAGCCCATCGACGACAAAGGTGATGGCGCGATTTTGTCCTTAATAAAAATAAAAGATAATCCCTCTATCACATCAGAAAGTAAACCAATGACTGCTTTCTTGATTTTTTTTATCAAACCAAGTAAAAACATCCCTCAATGTGCAGGAAGGTGCTGATGTTCTCACCGA